TAAGTCAAACAGCTCAAATCTTTACTGATTTCAGACAACATGATTCGAATGAATTTATGAATGCTTTAATTAATGCTTTACATAATGAATTACAAATCAGTGAATCATCAACAATTATTGAAAAACTGTTCCATATACAAACACAATCACGTGTTACATGTTGTTTATGTAAAACAGAAGATACGACAGATGAAAGAACAACATTTCTTCCATTACCACTACCGTTACCTAAACTGCATCCACAACAAAAATGTTTACTACTTGAAGATTTATTATCATTCTTTTTCGAAGAAGACACTTTAGATGGTGATTATTATTGTCAAAAATTTGATACTATGACACAGGCTAAACAAAAAACAAGCCTTCGTCATCCTCTGCCACGTGTAATTATTATACAATTGAAACGTTTTACGTTTGATGATTCAAATAATAAAATTCATACATTTGTTAGATATCCATTGCAAAATTTAAATATTGGAAAATATCTTGCCCAAACATCAACTAATGACACATTCTACAATTTAATCGCGATTTCTGTTCATACTGGTAGTTCACAATCAGGGGGACATTATACAACGTACGCTAAGAATAATGATCAAAGCGAATGGTATTTGTTTAATGATAGCTTTCTCGAACCGGTTGAAAAGAAAATTCAGGATAAACAGCTATTGACAAAACATGCATATGTACTTGTTTATCAGAAGACAGAAATTTCCTAGACGACGTTTTCCATGCACTGTCTTATTTATCAATAAGACAATAGCTAGTCGATGTTAGTTGACTTCAACTGTATATTAGTAATACTCAGAGAAACTTCTTTCGTCTCGGTGAAGCCAAGATGATACATACATCTTTTGCTTAAGTTACTTATACGCTCTCAAAATATAAATATATAAATATAGTAATTATAAAATTGTTTGCTTTTCTGACTTTGTACTGTGAAGATTTCTGAAATAGTATCCAGTAAACGTTCATATAAGCTTTATCAAAATAAAGCTTTTATCAACGTTTACTGGATACTATACGTTTGGTCTGAAATGTCTTTGTTTATATAAAGTCAGTTTCGACTACACAAATATGCAAGATGCCAATAGTGTCTACTCCAACAACGATACATAAATGTGAATTATTGCTGTTTAGAAAGACGAAATTCAGTCTCCATCCATCTGGGTTTCCACTGGCTGGAGTTTTCAGAATGCTTTATTTTTGCTGATCTGGGAATAAAAAATATTACGTTAACTGATATTTCTAGTTTTAGATTTCTTTTCAAACGCCTGTATTCTTTTGTCACAATTATAATACGGAAAGTTTCGGCATGTGTACAAGGAGTACATGTTACTTTACGTCATTTGATAACATTTGCCATCCGTATCCATCATGTCATTTATATTATGGGAAACAACTGTCACAAATGATAGAACTAGAAATCTCAGACAGTCCTCCGAGAGCAGAAATATCAATTAAAATAGGAAAGAAATTCAATACAAAAGTAGAATATATGCATTCATTATGTCAATTACATCGATTACTGGTTTCTCCTAATTTTTTAAGATCTCAACAATCATTTATGTTAGAATCAAATCCGAATAAACAAGGTAAAAACTAGAACCATTCTGCAAACTGAGAATTCTTTTATTTAACAAATAGTTCGGCTGGGAAAGTGTATGGTGAGTTTTGTACTTTGCAGTTTAATTTTTTCGATTATTAGAGCAGCTAAATCAGATTTGGAATCAGAGTGGGCGGTTGCTCAGTTCATCTATCCGGTTCCGTTGAGTTTGGCAAACCAATCAATTTAAACCTGTTTTTGCCGGTGCTTCACTGAAAAATTTTCTTGTTTTACGATGCGTTTTCTTGCTATTGTCGGGTGAAAATCGAAAAAAGATGAAATTTTCTCGCCAATAATAAAAATATTTTACTCATAAGAAGATTTAGCTAAGGAAAAAACCAACTAATAATGCTGAAAACAAAGTTATTTCGACTTCTTTTTGTACGACTATTTTCAAAAAGTTCAAACTCAGATTTTTTTATTTAAAATAACTAGAGGACTTCCCTGATTTTTCTGGATTATGTCCCACATTCAATCGATCGGGTTGGATCTGTCAGAGAAGTGTCAACAGTTCCACTTTTTTCAATCTGATCCGATCGGCCAGTATAATACTTGACATAAACTGGCAAAAGCTGGCTGTTTCTCAAAAATATAAATATTAATTTTTTGCAAAGTTATCCTTACAATAATGAGAATGGGTAGAATTCTAGGTTTGTTGTCTTCCCTTAACACAGTCACTTGCCTCTTTTTGCCTTAACTCTAGTTTCGGATAAGAAAATTTTTATTCTTTCGAAGAAAACTTATCATTCTAAAATTTAAAAAAATCTGTAAAAAAGTAGTAGGTGTAAGTTTATTGGGATTATCCGTCTATGGACGGGGCAACTGAGACATCCAGCCAGATCGAATTAGTAGTCAGTCAAGAGTTCGATGCCGGTTTATCGATCCCGGAAGAAGAAAGAGCTGAAGAATCTGATGTTTGCTCAAATCTGTCTTTCTGCAATTCGTCAATCCGCTGAATTATTAAATACTGGGTTGAGCCATTTTTCGAAGATCGATAAAAGAAAGAGTATATTCTTTGACACCAATTAGGACAAAATTCTCCGATGAAATACGGAAAATCACGTACGCCAAGCACAAAGAGGATCTCTAGAGAAAAACAAAATAAAGAATGCATTCATTGTAGAAGATTTTAGCCCTCCTTTCAAAAAGCTTGTCAGCGTAGGCTAATGGCCGAGATGTGAAACTCCAACTTATCTCATGCTGCTCCAGTTACTAAAAGTCTACCATCTAGCTCCACGCCTATCTCCATTCACTCTAGGAAACTAAACTAATTCCGTCGATTCAAAGAATGGAATCCTCTCTGTTACCTGTTCTACTCTGTTTGAACTTCTCAAGATGATTTTTACTTGAGAATAGTAAAAACAATCTTGTATTTCGGAAGATTGCCGGTAAGTCTTTTCAAAAGCAAAACTATCTTCTGTTGATTTTTAAAGCCTTTGTTGAACTCCATACTAATGAACAGGTAAAACAGAGTACATCTTGATATTCTAACATAATTTGATTGGATCTTGACTAGGTTACGAATTTTTTGATTTTATTCAAAAATAGGGGAAAATGCGATATTTCACCTAATATACGTTTTCACAAGGTTTTTCGAAGTTTCTTGAAAAGCAAATGTTGTCACAAGATTCAGCATAGTCGATAACCTATGTTTTCATGCATTTGTAACAGTCTAAACCTAAAGACAGAGAAGTCCTAAGGCTCTGAAAAAAAGGTCCGTAGACCCGAACCAAGCGAAATCAAACTTTTACTTAGATCTTATTTTGTAGAAAACACTTTGGACTATCTATCTGCGGAAAAAAACGATATATTACTATGTCGGTTTCTAGAAATCCGAGCTGGCTTTCCGAACGTCTTGTAGAAAACAGATTTTCCATATGTTTTTGAAAGATGATTTTGCTTATGAAAATATAGCTTAAACTATGGCCTTTCGATTGCTGAAAACGCATGTCTTCATCTTTTATTGTTTTTGAGTTATTCGAAAACCAACCGAGTGTCTTATATTTTGGGATAGATCGTTGGAGTTTCAAAAACAGTTTGACGCTATCAGCCGTGCAACCATTGCGACAAAAATCTGGTATAAAAATAGTATCTGGTGATAACAAAAATTGTTATTTTCATTCCTTCTCTCGCCGTTTGGATGAGTTCATAAAAAGTCGTCTTCTGCTTTATGTCGTGAAATTTGAAAAATTGAACTGATTTCTTTTGTAAAGAAATTATTCCTTATAATAAACCCAGAGGGTAAGCAGTAATAAATAAACCAGAATATAAGAAATATAGCACTGCTGTGAAAATCATATTGAACAAATACTTTTCGTTAGCGAGCTTTCGATGTCTTTCTAACGTCATCTTCAGGCTGACTAAAATGGAACATTTAACAGAGTTGTATACACAAGACAAAGATGACTGTTCTATCTTGTTTGTTCTTGAAAAGAAGGTTCGTTACAGACTTTCCTTTATTATACGTCGCCTCCAGTTCGTTTCTAGAGTCGTTGTTTCTACTTTATCAATATCTAGTGTGTGATTATTGTCATGTACATGTTTAGCTAGCTTCGAGCTTTCCTCATTGTTCCTAATTACTCGTTTATGATCGGTCATACGTTTACTACGTGTTCGTCCAGTTTAGCCAAAATAATGTTTATCACAATTTTTACAATTGATTTTATATTCTAACTTTTTCATACTTTTTTCCGGATCTTGCCCTTTTTGCAACGACAAAAATACGCTTCGTATTGTTGGGTGTTTCCAAAAGGCAAAGTTTAGTGTCAGGTGAAGTTCCGAAGGCAGTAGCTTACGACAAATCGTTTTAATACGTTGTGAAAGTATAAATGTTTCTTGGCCATAATATGGTACTACAAAAAATACTGTTTTCTGTTGTGGCTGCCGTAGCTGTTGTAAAATACGTTTGATGATTATACCACCTTCTCTAATTCCACGTTTGATAATATGTGGTGGATAGCCGTTTGATGTTAACGTTATTTTTAATCGATCGATTTCAGTTTTCATATTTTCTGGTGTTGAACAGATTCTCACAATTCTAATCATCAATGTTTTTATCAGCCCTATTTTATACTTGCAAGATTGATTTGACTCATATAGTATGTATAAGTCCGTGTTAGTAGGCTTACGGTAGTTGTTGCGTATTTGTCATTGTCCCGGATTACCAATACATCCAAGAAAGGTAAACGTTCATTCGATTCAAATTCAACGGTAAATTTAACGTTTGAGTGCCAATTATTAATGCGTGATAAAAAATTTTGAATTTTTGGTTGAGTAACGGTGAAGATGCAAAGCACATCATCTACATATCGCAACCACATGATAGGCTTATTGGTAGAGAACGAACATTCTTTTCAAAAACAAACAAGAAAGAACAGTCATCTTTGTCTTTATCAGGGGTTCCTATATGCTTGAAATAAATGCCGAACTAATCTCTTTATATTTATTCAGAAGTAGAATAATACTAAACAATAAAGTGAATAAAACACAATAATCTAAACGATACGAAGAAATGACGACGACTAACTGAAAAACACCAGAGTGCATAACTATATATATGTATGTATGTATATATATCTTGCTATTGACACAAAAAGAACAAAGGACACAATGATCACAAGTTATATGATCATTGAAAAACCGGACGATAGAAAAGGAAAAAACTTGCACAATGATGAAGAACGGAAAAAAAGATCACTTGTATAAAACGTGACCCAAACGAAAATGAAAAAAACAGAAACTAACAAAATCACACGCTGTGTGAAAGGACAAGGTCCTGTAACAGTCTTTGTGTACACAACTCTGTTAAACGTTCCATTTTAGTCAGCCTGAAGACGATGTTAGAAAGACATCAACAGCAATGGCAGAATTCCTACATTTCAGACAATCTACAGAATTCCATAGAATTCTACATTTTCGCTATGAATTCTACCATAACTATTTCACAGCTGAAACATGAAATGTCCGAGTTGTTCTCAAAACAGAAATCTAGGAAATGTACAGAATTCTATACAATTCTACGTCAGTACAGATAAACAATATATTACCCGAGTCATGGGCAAGCGATTAGTGACTGGGAGTGGGGAAGGGCTGGCGTGCAGAGCATGAGAGTGG